TTCTAACCTTTGAGTTTTAGTCTATTTTTGTCTTTATGTCCAAGGTAAGTCTCCTGTGAACAGCATACTGATGGGTTTTCTTATCCAGTCCAGTCTGCAACTGTCTCTTGAGTGCTGCATTTAATCCACTTATATTCAGTGAAATTGTGACTAAGAACTTATTGCTGTCATTTTGTTATGTGTTTTTTCATGGTGCTGATTTGTTTGTTCCATGTAATTTTCTGTGGTGAGCTCATTTTGTTTACAAAATTAGCTATTTCCTTCACTATTCCTGTTTTAGTATTTATTAAATATTTGTGCCTCTCCTTTTTTGTTCTGATGCAAAAGTTTATTAATTTTCTTTGCGGTTACTCTGTGATTTATTTTCTTCCCAAGTTTAGAACAGTCAATCTCCCAAATGTCTTGACTTCCTTACCATTTGGAAGTTCTGAACCTACCTTATTTATTCCCTCTTTTCGGTTTGTCCTAATTTACCAATTGATGTCTCTGTTTCTCGGTTTACAGTCTTGTAAGTTTATTCTACTTTGGATACTTCTTTAACTGGGTTGGTTTCTGGCTTATATCCTCATGCATTTTAATCATCAGTTGTCTTCTGTTATTGGTTCTCTGTCTGAAGGACTCCCTTTAGCATCTCTTGTAAGGTTGGTCTGGTCTTAACAAATTCCCTTAATTTGTTTATCTGGAAATGACCTAATTTCATCATCATATTCAAGGGACAATTTTGCTGGGTATATAATTCTTGGTTGGCAATTTGCTTCTTTCAGAGTTTTATGTATGAAATTTCATTGCCTTCTTGCCTGCATAGTTTCTGCTGAGAAATCAGAGCTTAATCTTAGTGGTTGTCCTTTGCAGGTAACTTTTTGTTTTTCCTTTGCTGCTTTCAGGATTATTTTTGTCATTGGTTTTGGCGAGTTTGACTATATGTCTTGGTGATTTTCTTTCGGGGTCTATCCTGTTTGGAGTTTGTTGAAATGTCTTGAATGGATATATCACATTAGGGAAGTTCTGTTCCAACAAATCTTCAACAATTTTCTTTGTGGCTTTGTCTCATCCTGTTCTGGAATTCTGATCACTCGTACGTTATTACTCTTGGTGGTGTCCCATAGGAATGATAGGCTTTTAATTTAGTTTTGATCTGTTTTTAGATTGACCCTTTAACAAATTATTGTTGAGGGATTTGTCATCAATTTCACTAATTCTGTCTGCTATCGATTCGATTCTACTCCTTTGCCCATTCAATGTTTTATCTATTTCTGAAATCTTAGTATTAATCTTCTGGATTTCTATTTGTCATTTTTATGTGGTTTCTAATTTTTCATTTATTCAGTCTGTTCTTGTATTGTTTTACTAAATTGTTAGTTTTGTCTTCATTTTCATTAATTTTGTCAGCATGGTCCTTGATCTTTCAATCCATTGAAGGTACCTAAATAATTCTTTTGAATTTTTTATCAGAGAGTTCCAATGCCTCTGCTTCCTCAGGGAGGTTTTCTGGGTCTGTATCCTGGTCCCTTGTTTGTACTTTATCTTGCGGCTTTGTATGAATTGCAATGGTAATTTGTCTCTGAGACACTGTAATGTCATATTTATATTTATACTCCATGTGCTAGTTTGGCAGCACTTAGGCACTCACCAACTATCTCCTTGTGGGTGTGATAGAGGATGAGAGTGTGTGCACAGATCTCTGTTAGCTGTTCGTGAAGAGCAGTTGAGGGCAAGGTGGGCTGGTATTGGCTGCCATCTATCATTCATCATTTAGTGCAGAAGCAAGTCTTGGCCTTCATCCAGTGGGTGGAGCTGCAGATGTGGGTGTGGTTGGGTTGTGTGAGTGTGGTTGCTGCCTCCTACTTGGTTAAAAAAAAAAGAGAAAAACTGCATAAACAAACAGCAACAATCACAAAAAAGAAAGAAAAGACATCACATGAAAAATTTAAAAAAAAACAAAAGGACAAAGAAAAAAAATCCCACAATATTTGGGGAGGGGTGAGTAAGTGAAGAGAGCAAGAGAAAAAGAATAAGAAATAAATGAGAAAAATGTAAATAAAAACAAGGGATGGGAAGAATTAAAAGGGAACCAGCCAAAAGGGAGGGAGGGGACAAGAACCAGGGAAAGAGAAAAAAGGAAAAAAAAAAAAAAAAAAAAAAATGGGAGGGTGGGGAGGACAACAGGGCACTGGGTTGTTTCTCTTGGCCAAGCAGTTAACAGGAAGTAGGGTACCTGGTCCTGGGAGTAGTTCCTACCTTCCCAGACAGGAACTGGGGCAGTGGACCTGATGTCAAGAGAGTTCCTGTTAATGCAAAAGATGTCTGAGGGCAAGGTACTTGGACCTGGAAAAAGTTCCTGCCAGCCCAAACACTGGTAGAACAAGGCACCTGGTTTTAAAAGGAATCCATATCTGTTCAAAAAATATTTTCTGCTGTCCCAAAAGGTAGCTGGGTTCAGGGTCCCAACTCTCGGGAAAAATTCCTACCATCTCCAAAGGGGGTCATAGTGTAGGGCACCGCACCTGATCGCAGAGCTAGTTCCTATCTACCCAGAATGCAGCTGGGGACAGGGCATCTGATTTTAAATGAGTTCCTAGTGATCCAGTGTCTGTGGGGATTCTGAATCCTCAATGTTTCTGCCAGTCCAAAAGGTAATTGGGAGCAAGGCACCTGGTTCCAGAGGGAGTTTTAGCCAGTTCAAAAAGTGGCTGTTTGGTAGGGCTTATGACGCAGACAAAATTCCTGTTGTCTCAAAGGTAACTGGGAGCAAGGTCCCATTCTCAGAAAAAAAGTTCCTTCTATCCCCAAAGCCTGCTGATACAGGGTATCTGGTCTCAGGAAAAAAAAAAAAAAAAAACCTCCTATTGTCCCAAAAGGTGGCTGGGAACAGGGCACCTAGTGCCAGAACCAGTTCCTTCCCAGAAGGCAGCTGGCTGTGGGGTGCCCAGACCAGGATGAAATTCTGGTCCAGAAGGTGGGTGGAAGTGGTGGATGACTCCATTCACCATGCAGGTGTAGGGTACAAGGGTAACAAGGGTAATATCACACCTTTCTAGCTGTTAGCCTCCAGTGTGGTTGCCCATGCTGTCTTCAGCAAGCAGAGCCAATTGTTAGGATCCTGCCCAGATCAGATTGCTACTTGTAAATATTCAAATCAGCCATGCAATCAGGACAGTCTGCAGCTCCATTTGTCTCCTTATTCACTGTCTTCATTCAGATTCTTCTACTATTTGGTATTTAATCCACTTCTTTATCCTTCCCTATAAAGCTCAAGGTTCCAGGATTATCTTCTGTTATCTGTTTTAAATAGTTTCTCATTTCTTTGTTGCAGAGGGTTTGTGTAGCTTGTCTGCCTTTTATGCCATCTTGTGAGAAGTCCCTATCTGTCTTAATTCACTTCTCTTCTCTAAGTTTGACTTTTTTTTTCCCAAAGGATGACATATGGAAAAAACTCACAGAGGACACAGCCACCCAGAGGACACCTATCTTCCTATTAAGTGGGTTCAAGATGATGTGTTCTCAGAAACAGATTTTACAGCAGAACTCATCTTTCCCTGGCCAGTGCCACAAAATTTTCATGCAGCGTCCTCAAGGAAAGTGGCTGCTCAGCAGAGTCTACCCATAGAGCCTCCAAGACTACTCAGCAAGTGGTAGTCATTCATCTTGAAGGGAGCCTCCAGGGTGACTTCATAAACTGCCATCTGTACAGAAAATGCACAGAGGATCAGAAGAGGTAAAAAGGAAGGAAGACAAACATAGACAAGAATAGCTATTGAAACTTCTCTACCTTATTTTGTGGGATTATTAAGGGTCTCAAGTGCACAGGCTGGAGTGGAAGCCTTCTTTCCAAAGAACTTTATGTGACAATGGTTTTAAGAATGGCAAGCTACTACTGACAAAAGCTGTACCCAAAAGAGCTGTTGTTGTCGTATTTACTAATAAGCACATTTGTGAAGAAGTTCCTATTTCCAGAAATAAGTTCTCAAAGACCAAGGACATGTTTTTAATATGGCTCTACCATAAACTGGTTTTGAAAATTTGGGGATGGGGTATCTTGTTCTCTGAACCATCCCCTCAGAAGTCAAATGTGGCAGAGGGCCAGAAGGGGAACTGGACTTCCCACATTCCTGGCAGCACCATTATCCTGACCACCAGCACAGCTGCAGAGGAAGCCTCCAGTACAGCCCCTGATGCTCCTGCACAGCCATAGCTCAATGCCTGCTCTCAGACAAGCCCCTGACAGGCACTGCTCTCTGTAGGGCAATAAGAAACCCCAATATGGCAAATAAATGACTAAACTAATTCTGTGCTAAATCAACTGCTATTTTAGGAGTCTAGCATAGACAAGCAGAAAGGAGAGGATTATGATTTGAAGAAAATCAATCTTTTCTTTGTGAGGCTCTTATTTTCCTCCATGATTAGGATATCGCTGCTACCACATGCTCTTAGTGGGAGAACATGCTAGCATAAATCCTGCGGCTTCAGTGTGCTCTAAGAGCCTAGCCTGATAAGACTCTAAGGCAAAAAAAAAAAAAGAAAAACAACCCACAGGCAATAGTTAGGCCCTTGACTAAAAGGGTCACATTGCTTGGCCTTTGTGACTCTCCTCTGGCATCTAATCCCCTCAGAGGACATTTCAAGAATGTGTGAACTGCTAGACAAGGAGCAGAGAACAAAGCCAAGCCAAGACACTGATGTCTGGCTCCCGTGCCAGCTCAGTGGTGTGCTACCCTACAGGCCTCATGTCCTGGGATTCAAATCTCTCTCACCTCAGTCATATCATTACCCATCATGAACTTTCAGGTTTCTGAGGTGGTATCTCTATGGAAATAGATATCTTCCTTCTGAGGAGTGGCTGGTGGGTTTGAACCGCCAGCCTTCTGGTTAGCAGTCAAATGCCTTAGACATTACACCACCAGATGAATTGTCTAGACAAAAATTATTATATCCTTAAGAGGCAAAAGTATGCTGTAGTCTCCAGAAGTTTCAGAAGTGATAACTCAGCAAGCCAATGAATATTCCTATATCCAGAGCATGTTAATTCACTTTCATTTTATTTCAGTTATAAAACAACTGCTGAAACATAAAGTTAAAAAACACACATGTACACAACAAAGTTTTATTCCTTTTTTTGCTGCAGAAAATAAATATGATCACGTATTTCATATGCTTGTCCACAGAAGCATTTCTAAAAATGTCATTTACTGGATTCAACGGTATGATATTTTTGACTTTTCAACTGCAGGTATCATACAGTAGATCATTTTATCTTATTAACATTAAGGACTTGGGCTCAAGCAACTTTGGAAAAAGGCTGTTTGTGAGCTTAAAAATCTTATTCTAAGTGTTATCTTTTAAATAGCTAAACAAAAAACAACTAGGTCTTAACTTACTTAACAGGAGAATAAAGTTTTCTTTTATAAAAATTGCCCCCAAAAACCTCACAAACACCCAAACCTACTTAAAAAGTTACTCTACCTCCATAGGCATTAACAAGAAGAAAGGGTATTGGGGAGAGGAAACAAAATGCATCCTGTGAAATATGCAAAGCCAAGCATAATCCATTGCAGTCCAGTCCATGTTGTTTCCAGTTTGGCCCTCAACGGTTCTAAAAAAAGAGAAGCTGTTCAGTCATCTAAGCCTATATTTCTGAAAAGGTAGGACATGGATTCTCCATTATGAATCCGACGGATGGCTTCTGAAAGGATCATGCTGATATCCACAGTTTTAATTTTGGGGCACTGGAGTTTCTGGATTTCATGTGGAATTGTGTTGGTTACCACCACCTGTGGATGAAGGGAAAGAAAACAAGAACATCAGAAAGACTAACTATATAGTGTCTTGACCTGACCTGAGGATGTGCTTGATGGGAGGACAGTGAGTCTACTATACCTTCAACAATGTTTTTAGTCAGTGTGAATACCACCTGTGCTTCTTAGATAAGATCTGATAATTTTACACCCACTAGGATGGCTACAGTAAAAAAGACAGGTATAACAAGTGTTGGTGAGAATGTGGAAAAATCAAAACCCTTAGATACTGCTGATGGGAATGTAAAATAGTGCAGTTACTTGGAAAACAGCCTGGCAGAGCCTCAAATGGTTAAACACAGAGTTACTATCTGATCCAGCATTCTATCCCTAGAAACGAATTCTATCTCAAGATAAATGGGGGGGGGGGAGGAGAGTCCACACAAATCCTTGTATGAGAAGACTCATAGCAGCATTATTCCCAACAAAGAACCCAAATATCCTTCAACAGATGAATGCATAAAATATGGTCCATACTAAGTAGTATTCAACCATAAAAAGAAAGAAACACTGATACATGCTACAACATGGACAGACCTCAAAAACATTATGCTAACTCTTCAACTTTATGGAATGGCAAGAGGCCCTGAATAACTAAAGCAAAGAAAAGAACAAAGTAGGAGGACTCATACTTCTTGATCTTAAAACATATTACACAGCATCACGATAAATGGAGAAAAGACTGAAGTCATCAAAGATTTCACTTTACTTGGTTCCACAATCAACACCAAAGGAAGCAGCAGTCAAGAAATCAGACTTTGTACTGCATTGGGCAAATGTGCTGCAAAAGATCTCTTTAAAGTACTGAAAAGTAAAGATGTCTCTTTGAAGACTAAGGTGTACCTAACCCAAGCCATGGTATTTTCAATAGCCCCACATGCATGTGAAAGCTGAACAACAAATAAGGAAGACCAAAAAAGAGTTGATGCTTTTGAGTTGTAGTATTGGCAAAGAATACTGAAAGTACCACGGACTGCCAGAAGAACGAACAATCTGTCCTGGAAGAAGTGCAGCCACAATACTTCTTGGAAGTGAGAATGGCTAGACTTTGTCTCACCTACTTTGGTCATGCTGTCAGAAGGGACCACTTCCTGGGGAAGGATGTCATGCTTGGTAAAGTGGAGGGTCAGCAAAAAAGGGGAAGGTCCTCAATGAGATGGACAGACACAGTGGCTGCAACGATGGGCTCAGGAATAGCAAGAATTGTGAGGCTGCTGCGGGATTGGACAGTGTTTCATTCTGTTGTACATAGGATTGCTTTGGAGTCGAAGTCAACTCAATGGCATCTAACAACAGCAACAGCAACAAAAAAAAACTACAGTAATCAAAACAGCTTGGTATGACAATAAACACATAGATCAGCAGAACAGAACTGAGAGTTCAGAAATAAACCTACACAGCTATGGTCAACTGATTGTTGACTAGGGTGTTCAGTCCATTTAATGGAGAAAGAAGAGTCTCTTCAGTAAGTGGTGCTAGTTTCACTGGATTTCCACATACAGAAAAATGATCCATATGTCACATCATACACAAAAACAAATTCTAAGTAGATTAAGGACCTAAATATGCAAACTAAAACCATAAAATTCTTAGGAGAATAAGTAGGGGCAATGCAGTCAGGGTTAGCTTTTAACAATGGGTTATCTAATATAATAAAAGCATAGACAGCAAAAGAAAAAAATAAATAAATGAGGCCTCATCAAAATTAAAAACTTTTGTTCATCAAAAGACTTTACCAAAAAAGTGAAAAGGCAAGACCAGGAGAGTATCTTTGGAAACGATTTATTTATCTGGTAAGATTCTAATAACCAAAATATATATAAAACTTTGGCAACAAGGCAAACATGGGTATATGGGTGGATAGATGGGTGGACAGGCTAAACGATTAGGTATGTCTATGAAATGGGGAGGGTATTCCAAGAACATATATAGGGTTGACAGACAATGGTCCTATAAGTTTATGTGAATGATCAGAATTCCCAGGTGTATAGTAGAGCTGACAAGGGGCAAGGTTGTGGTCACTGCTTGGTCAC